TTCCAGCGACTCAATTTTAAAAATTTACCAAAAATCAGGTAATTAAACAGTTTCAATATTTCAGTATTTATTTATCAATAAATCGATTTATTGAATGAAAGGATAGAATTTGGAGAAAAGTAGAAAGCATCTAAGTTAGGTACCTCCACGAAATCGCTAAAAAAAGAGCATAGCTTGATGAAAAAGATGCCAACCTTGCTGAAAACAAAATTTTATTGTCTAAATGCTTATGTTATTATTAAGAGGAAAGACCAAAGTTTTTTTTAATTATTTTAAAAATTTTTTTTGTTCTTTTTAGGACATTCTAAATTTCGATTAAAAAAACCTTGTTTCTATTTGTACCAGCGGAACTAGTAAATAACACAATTTTTAGCATGTTTTTTTTGTATGACACACATTAATTTGAAAAATCGTGCAAAAATAGAAATAATTGTCGGATGTTAATGAAACTTTCAGGAACTATTCACAGATGATCAAAATTATTATAAATATGTTTTTTTTTTATTAAAGTCATGGTAGAAATATTTTTTTAAATATTTATTACCCCCCCCCTAATTTTATGAAAACATTAGAAATTCGATCGCATCGGGTTTAGTGATTACAATAATTAAAAGCACAGGGCTTTGAGGAATGCAAATCATGTTTTTTTTTGTTTTTAATTGGATCCACAGTACCTGAAAATCAGCTCTGAATTGTAACATACAAAACTCAAAACAAAGATATTATTTAATTTCAAATGCTTTTATTTGCTTTTAGTTGTTTTTATGAATATGGACAATATTTTCTGAAAGCAAAAAATTTTTTTCGATGAAAAATGAATTTTTAATACAATTATTTGTTATTTCTTTAATTATAATAGATTTTACATTTAAGTTGTTTATTATAAAATTAGTTAAAAGCCGCATCGGTTTTCCTAAGTGTCCTTATGAGATAGATCTTTTTTAACGCATTGTAAATTGTATCATTTTGACTAATCAGAAGATCCCCAGTAATTAAGAAATGTAATTTTGTGCTTATAACCAGGCTGTAATTATAAAGTGCGGAAGACCAACCAGTATATAATTAAGTTGTGTTATTTTATTTAAGCATTGTTCTCTGCTGTTAAGGCCTTTACTTTTGTGAAACACGTGTGGAGAAGTTAATTTGATTTTTCAATTTCAACTGAGAAGGGTACCTACAAGTATCAGTATCATCTTATGAAATTTATATGATCTTATTTTTATATTAATCTCAGTTATGACATTTTTCCATAAATGAAATATCAAAATTAATAATAAAATGAATGCAAATACAAATAACAGTAAAATGTAATAAATGTACATAAAATTATAGTATTTTATGTACAGTTCTGATAAAATTTCATAAGAAAGGTACCTATAAATTAATTAGACACCTTTCTTAGGAAATATGAAATTTAATGTCACTCTTAACAGTCTTATTTTAATTTCTTTAGAATATATTTTCCATAAAGCATCAAAAACGTAAAGGTGAAAGCTAAGTACAAAAAAAAAAGAAAAGAAAAAAAATTAGACCGCTAAAAGTTTTCGTTAAAAGTAACGAGGTAAATAATTTGTTCACTTAAATGTAAATTATTTCACTTTTCTCCTTCCGTAAAACAAATTAGCCTCATGGAATTCGTAAATATGTCATTCATCACCTGTCAAGAGACGCGAAAGTTTATGACCTGCTTTGTTTTATTTTCAAATTACATCTTTTTGGCACAAAAGTTAAGTTTGGTTCAAAATATTTTAAATAAACATTATAATTTCTGATTTTCTTAAAATAAGTTTTAAAAAAAATTATAATTGATATTTAAAAGAATTTCAAAGTGAGATTTCCAGTTTTTTTTTTTAAATGGAAAAAAATGGTCAATTTTGCTGACTCAAAAAAAAAAAAAAAGATTTTTAACGAAAATTTTGGACGTGCTAGGAACGATTAAAAAATGGAAAAAAATACCCCAAAAATACTTTGATCTTTCCTCTTAATAATAAACATTTAGATGATAAAATTTTGTTTTCGTCAAGTTTGGCGTCTTTTTCATCATGCCATACTCTTTTTTTAGCGATCTTGTGGCGGTACCTAATCTAAGTGTTTTTTTTGTTGGTGTGTGTTGGGGGGGGGACTAGGAAATACTAATTTAGAGATCCACTTAGAAATGTCAACTATCATGTGGATTGCAAAGAACGATTGCACAATTAGAAAAGATTTCTTAATGACTGTTAACCACTGACACATTACAGAAGTGTTTAATTGGTTTGCTTTGTTTTACCTGCATATCAACACCCTTGTGGGTCATTTAATGATGAAAGATTTTTTTTTATTTAATAATATTTTTGGAAGTTTTAAGTTTTATAATTCATGAAGTATAGACAAAAACTTGTATAGTTTGTCTATAGATGGAGTTGTCAGTCTTAAAGTTTGGTGCATAATTTAGTTTAGTACATCAAAATGGTTTTTGCATTTACATTTCAGATAGTAACAATAGCTGTTAAGAAATAAAGCATGAATACATTTGGAGTCCATTTACTTGTGTCGTGAGTTTGTCCTCAATGAATTCTTCACCACTGGGACCCTTTACCAGACTAAATTAAACTTTATAAATATTTACATAAACATGTAATACGCAGTATCAACTAAGAAATTCCAACTTATAATGCGGTTATTCTCTTTGGTTGTGGGAAAAAAAAAGAAAAAAGAAAGAAAGAAATCCAAGTCTATACAGTTTAGAAGACTAAGAACTTATATATTAAAAAAAAAAAAAAAAAAAAAAAAAAATTATTTATGAATTTTTTTATTTTTATTTATGATTTTGTTAGTAAGTCTGAAAGAGCTGTATTTTAGAGCTCTCATAAAATAAAAATTATTGCCTATGGGATTTTAACTGTTTGATATTCATTAATTAACAATTATTTTGTTCTGTATTTGACAGAGCTTTCCCTGGATCTATATCCTCTTGGAAATTCCATACAGATTACCATATTCTATTATTATTACAATATATATATAAGTATAAAAATATTGTACAATAAGTGCTGGTGGTATTAAAAGAGGTAAAATTTAAGTTTTCAGTCTGGACCTGAAGCTTGCTGCATGTATGAAACTCAGAGTTGTGCCAAACAATCAGGAAAAAAAAGATGTACATTTAATATTAATATTATATAAGACAAGATTTTACGGGAAAATCAACCTTTCTGCAACAGAAAGTCTAACTCACTGCCTGGTGATAGCAAAAACATTGGTTTACTTGTAAAATTTAATGTCTTAAATTGTCTGTATTTTCATCATCTGAATTTGCATTATGCACTTTTTATTTATATAAGTGTATTTGACATGTAGTTAACTTGTCAGTTCAGTTTCTTAATCATATATAAATAAAAAGAAAGAACAGTAAGATATATAATCCAGTGTTCTTACAGATATTTTTATTTTTACAAAATAGTGCTCAATATAAATTTACAGAGTATTAATATTATAAATTAATTGATTTAAAATATGTTTTGTTTTTTTTTTGCTACACAGTTCTAACCATGTTTCAAAAATGGAAGCTAAAAGCTTCTAATTTAATTTTGTAAGACATTAGTTCCATTTCATCCTCAAGCGAATTTTGGAGTAACCTATTTTTAAAATTACTGGGTTTTAAAGGCACAGCAAAAAATCATAATTCACGTTTCCAAGGATACAGAGAAATCCATTCATCTAGACAAGGGGTGGTTGCAAGTTCATTATCACTGTATTTTGATGTATCAGTTATTAGTTATATTTTGGTAGGGGGTAGGGATGTATTTTTCAATGAATTCTGACATATGTTAAATGCATGTCGTCTGGATTTTCTTTTAAATTTATTGTTAACGGCAAAAATTCTTAGAGCATTTTTTTCTATTTGTATACTTAAAGATTTTTGGTGGGCGTTTAGGTTAGAATACGTTTTATTTAACTACGATTTAAAAAAAAAAATTTCACTTTTAATATACTATATTTTTTTTTAAAACAAGTAAATGTATTAGAATCACTTACAGTAAGTAAAATTATTTTTACATCAAGTAAAAGTATGTATATTACTAGGTCACAATTTTTTTAAAAATTTATATTTAAATATTATTTTGGAAACATGAATTATGATTTTTTGCTGTGCCTTTAAAACCCAGTAATTTTAAAAATAGGTTACGCCAAAATTCGCTTGAGGATGAAATAGAACTAATGTCTTTAATTTAATTACAAAATTAAATTAGAAGCTTTTAGCTTCCATTTTTGAAACATGGTTATAATTGTGTAGCAAAAAAAAAAAACATTTTAAATCAATTAATATATATATATATATATATATATATATATATATATATATAAATAAATCAGTTGGGTTTCAATCCTGGCTTGAGGCATTCAAATGTCTAGTCACAGTGAAGAGCTGTGATACAGCAAAAACAGTACTGTCTGTAAATGACATTATATATATATATATAAAGAGATGGTGCTAAAAAGAACAATGACCTTGAACCATGAAGCATATATACTATTACACATATTCACCCTGAATTTACACTGTATTTGACTTAATCATTCAAAATAAATAAATTCTGATCTTTGGTCATTCATGATTTTGAAAAGTGGGTCAGGCTGAGAACTTTTCAGTACCCTCCTTGAGTAAATTTTTTGATTAACTTTCAGGTAATCATAGCTGCTAATAAGAGATATAGTTATTACCTGATGGTATGCAGGTAGGTACATCCTGTAAAAGTCACAACTGACAGAAATAAATAGCAGAAGACGTAAGCATTAAGAGTGAATTAACAGGTAAGAATAACTTCCTTTATAATGACAGTGAATTATTGAATGCAAGAAATCTTGAGAATTTACAGGTGAGATACAGAAAACAAACCTTTATGAAAATAGTGCATGGAACTCAAAGTAGAAAATGTGTAAAAGAGAAAGACGTCGAGAATCAAAGTGCAGAAAGATTGAAAAGTAAAAGTTAAAAAAAGCAAAAAGAACCATGTCAGTACCTTTTCTTTTTCCGACTGCTTTGAATGGGAAACAGGATATAAATAGTTTTCTGAAAGACCTGCTTCCACTGGCAAGCCTTCCAGAGTCAAACCATTGAAGTGCTTGTCGATCTCATCTTTTAGGGCAGTTACTGGTGACCCCTTGTTCTTACAATTACTGTTATGATTCTCAAAGCATTCTTTGATTGCATTAACTGACAAGGGATGAGAGCTGCTCACCCCGGGAGGAGCAGAATTACGGTGGTCTTGAAAGGCAAAGTCTAAGTTGCGCTGTCTCAAGTGGCTGATGTGGGCCGGACTCAATGGTTTGATGAGTGGTGGGGGTGAAGCATTTCGTCCAGCGGAGGTCATTGAGAGGATCTCTGTCACAGGTGAACGATATTTAATCCGATCATTTGGTCTTCCCTACACAAAAATAGAAAATGATTTCAATTTATTCAGTTCAAAACAGAAAAGAATGCATGAAACTTCCTTCAGATTTCTTTATCATCTGAATCCATAGATTTATAACTAATATTAATTTGAGCCATTCCTTCCATGTTAAAAAAGAGTTCATTGCTTTCAATATTAGGCAAAAGGTCATCATTAGTGATCCTGAAAATCTAAAGGAAGATTTTATATATATATATATATATATATATATATATATTATGAAATGGACAAAGTCCAACAATTATTTTAAGACATTTTTATGTTTATACATTCTTTTTATAGATACAAATATTTAAGTAAATGCTCTGTTTTATAATAAACAGTATTAATAACATTTACTGGCCTGAATGTCTGAGAAATTTTCATAGAAAATATTCCGACAGAAATCGAACCTGTATCCTATACGGAACCATCATTTAGTCTGTCAGAGGACAGACTGGGTGACAACTGGTCTAGGTCAATGCTGAATTCAAGCTGGCCTGGAGAAGGTTGGGCTCCATCAGGCTATCTTGTCCAAGACACATCACTTCTACTGCGATTGCAGTACATGTGGTTCCTCTATGACCCTAATGGGTCACGGAATTTGTGATTGTGATAGTTTTCATTTAGACAATACCAATGAAACATCCGTCTATATTTCTGAGATGAGGTATTGTAATTATTTACTTTATTCAGACTGTTGTCCTAATCTTTATTGCCATATTCATGATGTTTCGGCTATAGTGCTCTTCAGTCTTCTTCAGGTGAGATTTCTTGAAATTTTGAACCAAACCCATTATTTAGTCCACAGGGGTAGATTGTTCTAATTCCACGTGCCATGCTTTTGCATATCTCACTTTTAATTAATTCTCCTTGATAATTCTCCGAGTTTTTGCTCACTCTGCTGTGTTCATGTATTGAGTTCACAACTCTTTAGGTTAAGTCACTTTTGGATCATCAACCAACACTTTTATCCACTAGGCCATATACTTGGACTAAATATAGTGTTCAGTACGAAATTCCAAGAAATATTACCTGAAGAAGGCCAGAGAAGACAATGACTGAAACGTCGTGGATATGTCAAAGATGAAGACAACAGTCCAAATAATGTAAATGGTATAAAATGAAAGTTCTGTGTTAAGGATTTTTTTTACAATTTATTTTTGTCTATATTTTGGATCATTTTTCTGGTTTCCAGTATATATTTAAATATACATTTATTCAATATCTGAATATTTTCCACTTTCATAATCCATTATAAGAAAGCTTTTGTCTTATGTTTTATCTTTCCCAAATATCACTTCTTTACGACTTCACTTGACAGTTCATGTTATTGGGTTTTTTAATGAAATATTTAGTGTGTTTCTTCCTTAATAACATTTTATTGATGTTTGGCTGATTTTTTATGATTAGCACCTCTTGTATTTGTAGTTTGTTTTCTTTTTTTTGACAGTTTCTATATGATATGATACTTTTGTGTTTTGGTAAAAAAAATTTCAGATTTTTTTTTTTTTTTTTCGATGGCTGGTGAGATACAAACGTAATTGAAATATTATAAGATAAATGGCATGTTAATCAGTGCAATATTGTAATGGTTGTGAAAACCAATATAGGTCTTATATGAATTATTATTATTAGAGAAAGCATTCTCAAAGTGAGCAAGTGAATTTAAAATCTTGACATTGTTGGAGGTTTTTAGTTTTTTTTTGCAATAAATGATGACCAACTTGTTTATTTTTGCCAAAAGGTAAATATGTATCAATGTAGCAAAGTTCTTATGATTTTTTTTCATCTAATTTGTGGTTGTGTAGTTGCTTGTTGTAAAATAGTTTAATTAACCTACTTAAATGCACTATAGTACAAAAATACACTATTAAATTAATAGTGCATTTTTTGTACTATTTTTTTTTAATAGTGCATTTTTTGTACCATTTTTTTTAATAGTGCATTTTTTGTGCCATTTTTTTAATAATGCATTTTTTGTACTATTTTTATTATTATTTTTATTATTGTTTTTTCTTTTTAATTTTCTCTAATGTTACTTTAATTTGTTTGTCAATTATGTGGTTAGTCAAATTTAGGAACAAACATTAAATATATTTCATTAATAAACAACAGAAGAAAAAATACAAGCTGTCAAGTGGAGACAAAATGATATTTTGAAATGATAAAAGTCTGACAAAGAGTTAATGAAAACGAAAGTTCTCAGACTTTGGATATTTATGTTATATATTAAATATGTATCAGAAACCATGGAAATGGTCCAATATAAAAAAATAAGTATTAACAAAAAAACAAAAAAGAACAAACAAAACTTAAAGAACTTTTGTTGATCTTTAACCAAACTTCATAAATGCATGGGTAAGCAATCCAAGTAAATCCTATTAATATAAAATATTAAACTGATCCACAAAAGATAGCTTAATATATTTATTATAAAGAATATATCCCAGGGTCAAAATGGCCATCTGAATGGGGTAATTTGGATTTTGTGTGCGTGCGTGTGTGTGTGTGCAGTATATTTAGGTAGCAATCATTTGTTTAATCATGTCTTTTTGAATAGATAGGAAATATCTCTTAAGGTTCTTGGTGAGTTTCTTCTAGTGATAAGTCATCTGATGTTAGGTGGGAGCTAACAAAGATATATATGTGTGTGTGTGTGGTTGCATGGACAGTAATTTGTAACCCAAAGTTTCATGCTTTTGCAATCTTCAGACAAACTGTCTATTTCACTACAATCTTGACACTGAAATAGACAGAATGAAAGTTGTGTAAATACATGTACACGTATGTATAAATGTGTGACTATGCCTATGAATATGGGTGTGTGCGTACAAACAAGCATGCACCTGTATGCATGTGTGTCTATGTATATGTTAGTGTCATCCCAAACAAACACAAAAGAAGAATTCCCCCCTCCACCACACACAAATAAAGCATAAATAGATCCACTTTTGAAAAAATAAATCAGTTTGTCTGAAGATTGTGAAAGCATGAAACCCAGGGTTACAAACTACTATCCATGCAACCACATATATTAGCTCCATCACAGATATTGAGCACTTTCCACTAAATGCTACACATACACACACATTATACATGTTAATAAAAACAAAGAAGAATGGTACAAGAACAATGTTCCATGTACAATATAAAAATATACAAACAGAGCCGATATCCCTCAGATATTATTGCTTTTCCATGACTTAATATTCCAGGTGGGCATGGAATTGAGTATCTAATTACTTGTGTCACCTGATGATTGTGTGACAGTTTTTAAACTATTTAAGTGTCCACCTGAAACATTAAGTTGCAGAAATGCAGTAATATCTGAACATTGTTTTTCTTATATTTATAAGGTACAAAAATTTAAAAAATAAAACCTAGTGGATATAGCTGTATGTTTTTAAAATAGGATATAGAATCCTGACCAAGTTTTTAAGAAATTTGACAAATGGAAAAAAAATTATAAAGAAAAGATACAGAATAAATATTAACGGCTTTTTTTTTTTTTAAAAATCACTCATTTTCTTTCTTCATTAATCACTAGAAAAACCTAACTTAGGGGAAAAAAAGGTATGAGGATTCATTATATACACATACATATAATTAATTTCTTTTGTTTTTGGATCTGATGAAGCCATGAATGGCAAAACGCTTAATCAAATCTATTTTCAATGAAACATTTTCCATTTGTCATATAACATGATCATTAACTCATCACATATCCACTAGGATTTTATTGTATCCTTTTAAACCCATTAAACAAACCAAAGACTCATCAATCCTACAGAAATAACTGACCCTCCAGGGCCAAAGTGGATCCCTATTTTAATTGATGGCAATTCCATAAAAGTTCTTGATTTGTTCTGTTCATAATAGTTGATTTACTAAGATCTTAAGGCTTTGTAATCGGCAACTAGTCATTCCCTTCTTCAACTCATTTGGTTGTTATGTTAGACCAAACTAAGATTAGTAGTTAAAAGAAATCTCCAAAGGCACCAACCATATTGTGATTGTTAGATCATCCCATGAAACAAATCACTAGTATAATGAATAATACTAGGTGCTCCAAGTACTGTGGTCCTGTTCCAGATTAAACTGAGCTTAATAAATAACCTTTGTAAATGATGTCATTTATGAAAAATACATTTTGGCAAATGCAGCTCATGAGGATTTTTTTTTTAATAATTTCACCCAAAGCAAGGCAATAAAGCCACAAAGATGCAAAGATTTATTGAGTGTTAAAGAATATGAGAAAAAAATCATTATTAAGACAGAAGATAATGATTGACACTGTATTTAAATTTTTGAAAATCAAAATTGATTGGGAAGCAAGAAGCCAGTTGACTAAAATTTTAAGATTTAAAATAAATCACTTCTTCCCATAAGATTTTTGGATTTTGCTGCATTTTAGAAAAAAGGAATAGAAAATTTGCTGAAGAAAGGGAAAAAATAAAATAAAAATGTTTAAAAAACTAACCAAGAGCCAACTGCGTATTGTGCTCGAGGTTGTTTGTTGTTGCTGGGCCAATTCCTTCTCCCGTTCCTGGGCCGTCTCTTCACTCAGCTGACGTCTCATTTCCATTCTCTGAATGGCCTTCTCACAGAAAGGTGTTGGGGTTGCAATCTCGTTGAGCTTCTGCTGGAAGTCTCTCTGTGCTTGTTCCTGATCTTCTGCAAATTTGGCTTTCTGCTCTATAATCTGACGCTCAATCAGTTCATTGAAGGTCGGTTGACGTTCCCGTTGTTGAGCATATGCCATTTTAAATGCATTTCCAATGATGGTGTTCAGTTCTTCAGCCTAAATGAAAGATAAAAAAAAAAGAGAAACAAAATTTAAATGAGTTTCTTGGTTTTTTTTTTGTTGGTCTATTTAATATATATATGATAATAAACAATATTGCAAAATATAGCATGGAATAGAATCAAAAGATAAGAATGGTGACAGAAGTAGAAGAGATGAAAATCTTGTCTAATCATCACAGCTTTGACAGATCACGTGTCTTAAGCAATTCGGTGATGAAAGGTTAACTTGTAAGGCAGGCAATAAGAGTTCAAGTCTCATCTTAAACTACTTCCTTATAGTATTTAATGGCAATTCAAATTTCTCTCTCTTTTTTTTTTAAAAACCACATTTATTATTACAGCATCATAAGTTAGGCTACCAGTGACTATATATAGCCTATGTTTTTTGGGTAAATGTAGGTAATATCAAATACCTGAAAGACCTTGGAACTATTTTGTTTTAACCATTTTGGAGAGGAAAGAGAAGGGTATTATACACTGTCAAAAAAAATAAAAAAATAGTAGGTTAATAATTAAATTGATTTATTAAAGAAAATATTAAAATAAAAATATAGAAGAGGAAGATAAATCAAATAAATTTATAATCATGGAAATGCCTCATTTACAAAATCAGTTAATTAGTGTTTTAAGTTTTCATAAATTTTATAAAACAAAAGTTCAAAATCTGATCAAGGCACATTTCATCAAAGAACTGAAAATGGTCCTAAGTGAAACTGGGATTAGTACAGTTTTTTTTAAGGACAAATGTAGACAACTAAAAAGAAGTGACTCCTTGACTCACATGAAAGACAAATGATTAAATCTCAAAATACTCCAATTATGAAAAGGTGACTTCTGGAGAGTGAAAAAAAAATAAATAAATAAAAAAATAAAAAATTTAAAAAAACATTAAAAAAAAACCCAAAAGACACTTAAAACTAAGATAACAAAAAAAATGACAGTATTTTGATGGTTAAGTAATTTTGAGGTCAACACTCAGAGGTGCAGTGATAAAAAAATAAAACTAAAAATTGTCAAACCATTTTGGGTTGCCACAAAAAAATAAAAACAAAAAGATAAGCAAAAAAAAGCGAAAATAAAAATAAATAAATGAAAAAAATAAGAGGCAAAAAAGGTCTTTTTTTCCTAAATATAAGTGAAGAAAAAGGTGTGGTCAAATGAGTCCTGTGAACCAATCAGAAATCAAGAGACAATTCCAAAATGAATTCCTTTGTCTCAAGAAAGTTGAAGTCTTTGAAAGACTTGAAAACTAAAGTTTTATTGAGTCTATGAACCATAAATAGTTCTCTGTTCTAAGGGGGGGGGACAATGTATAAAAAAATGCAGAAGTTTGGATTCAATTCAAAATAATAGAAAGACAAAATATCAAAAGAAAGAATTTAGCTGATTTCAGCAACAGATGTTTGTTTAGTTCTTACATAATTTACAGAGGAATAATTTAAATTATATTTAATAAAATAGGATCTGCTCATAGTGCAGTGGCTATTGTCATGTTCAGTTTTGCATAAATATCCTTGAGAAAGTTATGAACCCATTTCTTTCCCTCCCAACTATGGGTTAAAAAATTGTAGCCCCTTTATCTACAAACATATGCAAGTTGGATTTTTGTTTCTTCACTGGTTCTTCAACGACTTAAGAAAAAAAAAAAAAAGAAAGCCTGTGGTCAACTCCCAGTTGTGGCGCGAAGCTGTAAGGTTTCTTCCACCAGCGTTTGGGGTTGACTCATTGTCACTGCCACCGGCCTGTGTCCCGGTTGATCTGGTCGTTCCCGGTTCGATACCAAATTGTCGTTCCCAGATCACTTCCAAAGTCTGGTTACCGAAGTAACTGCTTTGATCTCAAGTCTAACCTACCACATTGTGATTTTCATCTTAGGTAGACGAAATCAATCAGGCGTCGGGCCGTAGTGCAAGCTGAATCCGGGGCATACTGCACAAGCATAAGTAAAAGAAAATAATAAAACTGACAAGGTTCAAATATGTTGAGAAATAACAATTATCTTTATCTGTTGAATACAGGAGTGTGTTTCTCTCCCGGCCCGTTTCTATGAATTCATGAAACTTTCTTGTGTTTCTTAAGCAAGTTATGGTATCTTAGTTGTTTGTCAATAAAAACTTACTTTTGGTAGGAAGACTAAGTCAAGAGGACGTTGAAATCTTTCGGTCAGCTTCTGTGAGGCTGGTCTCCAACTGCAACTCCAAAATCTCTTGAAACTGTTGAAAACTCTGCTGAAACTGATCAGCTGCCTCAAGACATTTGTTTATATGGACACTGACCAACTTCGGGGTGGGGGCTTGTTGTGGTTTGGGTTCTTTGACAATTCTCAATTCCCAACAAGAATTCTTTGTTCTTAGGCCAGGAAAATTAATTAATTCCCATTTTTGGAAGACTAATCTCTTTCCATTTCAGGGGTTTCTCCCTCGTCCATGAGGAAAAGTCAAAGGAGAGTTATCCTCCCAGACTCTTCCTCTCTCACATTGGTATCTCATACCAATCCCCTCAGTGGGTGTTCTCCGTCTTTCTCATACATTCACCTCCGCCCATCACCCATACCACCAGTTGGCCAATGATCTCTCGGCAGTCTGGGTATGGCTAGACTGGCCCGCATGTTTACAAAATCCTTTATTTTTTTTCCTTTTTCTTCGGCCAAGACATTTACAAATCCCAGAATGCTGAATAATTCTTTATTACATTGTAATTTTGGGGACACCCAAATCCACTTACCCAACTTTTAACTGTGTGGTCGTGTTTTCCAGATAATTAAATTCTTTTATTTTTTTTCATGCCTTAAAATTCTCTTATCACCAGATGCTCATTTTCGAGACACTATATTTAAAGTCAACAGTTTGAATCTTACTTATTATAAAACGCAGTGTGTGTGTGTGTGTGTGTGTCTGTACGTTTATATATTGGATCGGATTTCCTACATTTTTCAACTGATTTCAACAAAACTTCACAGGACTGCGTAAAATTACCTTGCGGTGGTTCTGACAGCACCCAAAATTGGGAAAACAATTGTTTTTGCATGAAATCAATTTGAAAACACGATAAAACACGACTCTGTCACCAGAATGAAAGGGGGACAACTCATATCACGTTATACTTATCATAAAACCCAGGTTGTTTGTGTGTGTGTGCGTTTATATATGGGATCGGATTTCCTACATTTTTCAACCGATTTCAACAAAACTTCACTTTGGGGGGGCAGGTAGTGTTTCTTATTGTCTTGCACACTTTTTTTCTTTATTTTACATTCAGAATGCTTTAAAAAATCCATTTACAAGACAATTGTTTATAATAAAATTCTATTCAATTGATAGACTCATAACGATTGAAAACAATGTTTTTGTTTGAGTTTGGGTTTGACCAATTCATAAAAAAAACAAAAAAACAAAAAAAAAACTAATTAAGACATGCGTGTCTGTCAACCTTAAACAATAATCTTTGTCAATTTTATTTTTCAGTCTTTATACTTGATTTATTTCTTACTGTTACATCACTGGGCAACGCCGGGCTCTACTGCTAGTAAGCAATAATAATGATCCCCTTTTCGGCTCTTTTTCCTGTCAAGATTCGTACATATACCAGATGGGTCTCTTCGCTGGACCCAAGAACCAAAATTAAATGATATCTCTGAAAGATAATTAATGGCTATTCTCCAGGGTGGTCCCTAGCCAAATTTTCTCCACGGCCGCATGTGTCGGCCGGCTTTGTTTTTCTATCTGAATTCTGTTTATATTAGCGTGTCACTCCCTTATCGTGACATTAATTAATTTTGACAGAATCACAGTCCCGCTTTTTCTTACAGATTTTCTGCCTTCTGCAAAAAGTATCTTTCTTTTGTAAATAAAATAAATTCTTTTTTTTTTAAATGTCGCTCAGTCCATCTTTTGATATAGCTCTTTCTCACCTTAAGCATTTCCCATTTTTAATTACTATGGTTAATTAGTTAGCCAATTACCATAGCTAAATAGTGTCACAATTCTGATGAATCTTAATTCATCAGTTAATGATTGAATAAGCTCATGGCGAATTCTACGACAATAAAATATCTGCAGAAATTCCCCTATCGCATCGTTAAATATTTGAGCTTAACAACTTTCACAAAATATTGAAATAATCATAAATATGAATGCAGGTCGTTATTTTAAGAAGTGGGTACAAATGAAATGATTTGAGATTGACAAATTTTTCCATTTCACTGTAACAACCGTTAAACACTTCTATTTTCCCTTCTTTCATTCATTCATTTTCTCACTGAAACTAAGTAGCTTATATTTTTGTTTTTCTATGCAATCAGAAATTCATTATTTATTAGGTACCAGCAGGAGACATTAAACACTTCTATATTCCTTTTTTTCATTTTTTCACTGAAACCAAATAGTCACTTTGCCCCGCTTTCCATGTGATCAAAATTATGAGGTATTGGCAAGATGTAAAGGTCATGCAAACTGATGAAAGATGGGACAAACTCAATTATAATAGGATCTTTGTATCTGTAAGAGCCAGAAAGAAACTGTTTATTTCCTAGATTTTCAATGAGAAAGTGCTACAAAGAAATGATTAAAAATCATTAAAAATGCAGCACTTTCTCATTGACAACTTCTATGTCCCATCTCCCTTCAGGGGGGTAGATGATCATGACACTCTACAACTTCCTGTCTTTGTAGCTCTTAGCAATGTTTATCTTTTTGCTATCTCTCCTAATCTCTGCCAAACATTTAACACAAACTTGCCAGGCAGGTTATTTGCAGATTTCATCTGTATCTCTTGACTTCAGTATATCCCAAGAGTGTCAAATTTTCCAAGCCCCTTTTCCTCATTACATGCCCTAGAAATTTCAACTGTCTTTTCTGATTTTTTCTATGTGTCCTTTTTGTTTCCATTTTCCATAAAATCTTGTTGTTGCTCATATGTTCAGTCCATGTTATTCTCAGCATCCTTCTGTAGAATCACATTTTTGTTATCTCTTCTTCATTTGTAAGGAGACTGTCC